GGAGTTAAACCACGACAGCACATTAAACAAGCCAAACTTCTGCGTTCTTTGGCAGTTTGCCTTGCAGGAAAACGAAGACTTGTATTTTCAATACATTGCAAATAAGAGCTTTGGCACCAAACAGTTCTGTGTTTGACTCAAACCCTTACAAAAGGGACCCATACATCATTCTTTTTTCCCCTGGCATGAACAGAGCATTACTGAGCACCTAATAATCTTGTACAAATAGGAGCTTAGATTGTGTCTTGATTTAATTATCTTCTGACTTACTAGGTTGCCCACTTGTTAACCTGTCTTCCATTTCTATGTATTTGTATAAATGTGCCTGCTCTCAGACTGTGGAGTGAGTTCTGATATCTGTTAACAATCTGTGATTCTAGACTGATTTTACTGCAGCAACTGAGAATTTAGACCAAAATACTTGATTAGTATATACGCAAACAAAGTGAAAGTTCCGATTTTACTTGGACATTTGAATTCCCTGACACAAAACAGTCTTGAGAAACCTATTTCTAGTCTGCAAAAGACCTGTGTTTTGGTGAGTCAGTGACATTGATGCAGGCAGAAAATAAATACCTCCCAAATGTGCATGTTTCACTCTGTCTTCTGCAATCCAGAATATAGAAGAAAATAGAAACAGCAGAAAATGTTTATGATTTTAAAAAATGCTTATTAGATTTTTTTAATGTGAGGCTGGGATCCCAGCAGTTAAACTGAAATGCCAGTTAAGGCTTTGCCTCGATACAGGGTTTTCAGAAATGTGACTTAAGTAACATCTAAATAAAGGTTAGATCTTTCAGCTGTTTAGTATTTATTAGCTTGTTTTGCTGCAACAAGAGCTTCAGCATTAATACCATGTTTTATTTATGTATTTTAGCCGAGTGGAGTTAAAAAGGCTATGTGAAATATTTACTCGCATGTTTGCTGACCCTCACAGCAAGGTAAGTTCACAAAGACTTGGCTCGCTCTCTTACATTACCATGTGTGCACATTTGATACCGTTCCAAGAGGAATGTTTTGTATTTCTACCCCTGCCATCTGCCAGGGGAAGTCTCCTTGATTTTTATCTGCTTTACAACGGAGGGATGTGTCTCAGTCTCTTATGTTGCTAGCAATTACTCACTCCTTGCTTCTCAAGGAGCAGCCTGATGCCTCTCAGGTGTTGGCCCCTGGAGCAAGAAGTTCAGTTTTATCCGTACTTCTCTAGGGAGTGTCATGGTGAGAGGCAGCAAAGTGAGGTCCATGAGGGTGATGAGCTGTAATTCAGCATCGTGGTCACTGTGGTTTGGGTATTGTACACCTGGGAGCAGTGTAGAGTCTCACCAAGACACTGTTCTGGTTTTCATAAATAAATTAATGTCTTTAATATAGCCACTTTGCCTTCTTTGCAACCGTGGCATGAATTTACAGACATCCCTTAAAAAGGAGTGGGCTAGGGAATGGGGAGGTAGGGCCCACAGGCATGTTCACCCCCAGTGACCTGCTATTGGCAGGCAAGTGGGAGGAGGGAGAGGGGAAAAGGGGAGTTTCACATCCTTTCCTGAGGAAGTTTTTGCTGGTTGAGGGCAATCAATAGCGGCTGGGTAAAACCATCTGCTGTTGGATTAAATACAGTTGGAGAAATAATAAGTTGTATAAATATGTGTACTTCAGACCACTTGGTAAACAAGTCTGATAAATGGTTGTGAGGTGGAAGTCCCCTGGGCAGGCATGGTTGCCTGTCGCAGGTCTTGCTCCACGTGTGCGTTTTGGGACATAATTACAGTCTGGACCAGCTGTCCCAGAGGCCTCATTGGGAGCGGCAGTTCGTACCTCTAAGGTCTTAATGTTTTGGCTCTTGGTATGTGTTGTGGAAACGCTGAAGGTGTAGCTATCTGTAAAATATTTCTGAGTAAGGTGTTTATTGCACACTGGACTCAAGTACGTCCTCTGTGGCCGCAGTGATCTGTCATCTGCGCTGCTTTTGTGGAATTACTGCTACAAACTCATTAGTTGTGGTGTTAAATATATCTTAACTTTGTTACATATAAGCACGCTACTTTCATAAGGGAGGCAAGTGGATCTTATCCAAAGTATATAATGTTTTAATAACTCTGAGGAGAAACTCTGTTTTAAGAAAATGTAAACTTTCAATGAATGCATCTTTTATCTGTTGACAAACTGCATCTGAGCCAGCCTTCATCACTACGTGTGCTAACGAGTGGTTTGTTTTGTTGCATGGCCTGCTTTGCCGTGGAATTCACAACAGAGAGTAAGTGTATTCTACCCCCTTCCTTCATTTGTTTCATGTGGTATTTTAATACAGCACATTTTAGATGTGTCTCGTTTGTTTGGTTTTTTCCCCTCAGAGGAATGTAGTCACTAAAATCATTCATTCATGAAACTGTCTATAACAAAATCATCCTGAAACTCAAATCATAGAACGCCATCCCCTTGGATTATTTTTATGTAAAGCAGGGGTTTCCTTTCTGTGACACTTGTTTTGTTTATAGGTCTTCAGCATGTTTCTGGAAACCCTGGTTGATTTCATCATCATTCATAAAGATGACTTGCAGGATTGGCTTTTTGTTCTCTTGACCCAGTTGCTGAAGAAAATGGGAGCTGATTTGCTGGGGTCTGTGCAGGCAAAAGTTCAAAAAGCTCTGGATGTCACCAGGTAGAGTACCCGGATGGCGAGTGGTATGGAGGGTTTTGCAGCATGACAGGAAAGCACCTCATGAACATTTTAGAAACTCAATAATGCTGTCTATTTTGAGACCTCAATCTTGATGGATAACAGAATAAAGGAGACCAAAGTTATGTCACAGTATTTCAAGCATTGAATTAAAAAAGGTCTGCCTCTCTTCTAAATAGATCGCTTTAAAGCATGACATTTAAAATGTGTAACTGATTAACTTTGTTAATTTTGTTGGGTTTTTTGGTGTGCAAGTACTCTGATATAAATTTTCTTTTTGATTATATTTTTGCGGTATTGAAAATATAAATGGTGCTTTACCACAAAGTTCAGAGCATCCTTCATGTGTTAAAACAGCAAAGAACAGTAATAATCAGGATAAGACCTTGACTGCTACTGTGATGTGCACACCAGTTCTGTAGCCAGTGTCCTTTTCTAAGGGTGCCCAGCACAGGACACTGTTACAATAAAGTTCAGGTTATTCTGGAAATGGGGTAATTAAGAAGGAGTAGTAATCCAGGAGAAAATAGGATAGAGGATAGAAAAAGAGGAAAGAAATCAAATCCAGGTATGAACTCTGAAGAAAAGATGAACCAGTCTGCTGTTAAGAGATAAAGGAACAAAACACAGCATGAGATGGAGGAACGGACAGGTGTGCCCAAAGCTGCATCACTGTACAGAGAGCAGATAGAGTAACAGTGTATGAAGGTATTGATTCAGCAGTTTTTGATAGTATTAAATCAATAGTTAGCTATCCTTAGATTTGGAGTTGCTCTGGTTGATGGTAAAGTTAAGAAGAAAAATGATAGGTGCTGAAATCTGTTGTTCCTTTAATGTAAAGAGTGAATTTACTCCTGAAAAATTATGCTGCATTACATTTTTGCCTTTGTTTTCTTTGAACAGGGATTCTTTTCCATTTGATCAACAATTTAACATTTTGATGAGGTTTATTGTAGATCAGACCCAAACACCAAACCTGAAGGTCAGTATGAAAAGCCTTTTTGCGAGAGTATCGACACGGTTGCCTTAGCTTGCCGTGTTAGGCGTACTGTAAAGCATCGAACTCATGATGAGGTAACTCACTGTAAGTTTAGAACTGGAAAACACCTCTTCACTCGGGTCTTGGTGGGAAGAAAACCTGGCCGTACCGGACCGAGGGGACCCGGCCCATTCTGAGCAACTGGGAAGTTGGGACGCTCAGCATACCTTAAGAGCTTCTTGCACAGATCAGACACAAGAAGTGTAGGGTTTGGAGAAACAAACACCCGTGTCTTCTGTTACTGAATTCTCCCAAGAATTCTACTGTTGTGCAGACTGTTTTTCAGGAGGCTGCTGTTTTGAGGCTGTAGGAACACTCTAAACTCTGGAATTCGTACACGTTTGTCTTTCAGAGACAGGAATATACAGGTTGCCAAATGGCTCGAGTGTTCTTTCTTCGTACTCTTTTAAATTTTCATCTTTTGTGACTCCAGCATCAGGCATTTGAGACTTTTGGTTTGAGACCAAAAGCTATGGTTTGACATTTGGAACAGTAACTGTCGATGGAGACAGCGTGGTGGAGTACTGATTTGCTTATGTAGATGCACAAGCAGATGTGTTTAAAGCCAGTTCTGAGGTATCATTCTGGACTCTTACCACACAATTTGTCCTGGGTAGGAAATTGCTCTTGATTTTTTTGAACCATGGCATAGGGATGTGTCACAGGGATATTTTTTTCCCCAGTGTGACATAGGTCTTGTCAATCTGTAGTGGTATCTGTTTATTATGGGATAAGTCCATCTTTGCCAGCTCATGAGATTAAGAAATCCCTTTCTACTTCCCAGGTGAAAGTTGCTATCTTGAAGTATATTGAGTCCTTGGCAAGACAGATGGATCCAACAGACTTTGTGAACTCCAGTGAGACAAGACTTGCTGTATCTAGGATTATAACTTGGACAACAGAACCAAAGAGCTCGGATGTGAGAAAGGTAAGACAGGAGAATGAAGTATTTGCAGTAATTACTGTTCCAAAAAAAACCCCAAACCCAAATCCAACAAATAATGGTCATAAAGATAATGAAAAAATCAGTGGTTAGATTCTAATTAAAAAAAAAACCAAACAACAAAAAAAACACCAAACAGCTTTTACTTAATATACTGTCCAAACTAATTGCCAGTTCAGTAAAGACCCATTTCTGAAGCATGTCTTCATATATTTTTTTTTTTCCCCAGTAGGTACTTAGCTGTGTGACTATAACTCATGTTACCATGCAAAAAGAGATCATAGTTTGAAAATGTGCTTTTTCTTGAGCAGTCTGGAAATATCTCTAGGTTTTTGTTTATTTAGGTGGAGACTCTGTGCTTTGCAGGCTCGAGTGAAATCTAGCACTGCTTCTGTGTTATAATATTGTTAAAAGAAAGTAAACAAATCAGTAACCTGCCAGGGGCTCTCAACTCTTTTCTTTTAAGAGCTGTGTGTTTATCTCAACCTGGAAAAAATTGACACATTTAGGTCAGGTCTGGGTAATAAAGTTACCTTGTTCTTTATCTTGCTGTAGATGCAAGTGTCAGGCAAGCTAAAATGGGGCAGGTAGTGATACTCATCTCTCCCAAGAGAAAAGTGAGACTTAGTTTTGTGTTCCCGGCGTCTGTAACGCAACTCAAAATTAACTTCTCTTCCCAGCCCAGATGTAGAAATAGATTCCAGTAGGAGTTAAAGGGTTTTTGATGTACTTGGGTTTAAAAAAAACCCCACAACTTTAAAGCATTTCAGAATGCAAACATCATATGGGATTTTTACGCTCTATGTGCATTTAGAATGTTGAATTAATACTAGAATAGCAGTATTTTATAACTTTGGAAAGAAGAAAATTCTTTTTGTATTAGTGATTATTTGATTCTGATAAAAAGAGCACTGGGTATCAAAGGTGCTGCAACTGCAGCACTATGTATAGGGTAGCTGACACAAGGCTTCAGAGAAGCTTTTTGGGTGCATGCTGTTTGCTTTCTGGCGTACAGCTGATTGGATCTAGAGAAAAATGTCTCATCCTCTTTTCTGAAGACTTTCTGCAGAGATTATTCGCACCACTGTGACTGAAATGCTGCAAATTAAGCCTGCCTCAGAAAAGAAGGGTGACTTTAAATCCTGGGCTTAAAATGGGAATGCATATTCCAGATCTGATGTTTCCATGAATAAAGTCAGAAAGAATTAAACAGGCAAAGGAGCTGCTTCTCTGTTATAATGCAGATAAACCTCAAGCGGTTTACTGTGCTGGTGGTCTGTGAGAGGGAGTTGTAATTAATCTAAGTACCAGTATACATTAAAAAGCAAAATCTCTGCATATTACTCAGCAGAATAAATATTCCACCATTAGGGGTCATGGTTGCTGCATGCAGTATGGAGTGAGGAGTGTTTGCAGCCGCTGAGAGTGGCTGTTAGCTGTGGGGTGTGGGTGTTCACAGGGCAGTGTCCATCCATTTATCGGTTTCAAAGACGTGCAGAACTCTGCCAAAACTTCCAGCGAGCTCCACCTGAGCAGTACCTGGGCAAGTGCCTTGGAGGCTGATAGGAGATTACTGAATCTAAATTCTTTTTATTAAACCTGCATGTGGGTTGGGTTTCCCTCTGATGTCTGTAGCTTTCAAATAAATTATTACACAGTTAAACCAACTGAAGCTACTAAAAATGAGTGCTCGGGTCATCTTTATTTCATCATACTGTTGCCATACTATGATTTTCTGAAGAACATAGTACATATTACTAACCACGGGCTTTAGAAGAAACACTGCAGCAAAGGATTTATAAGCAATCTCTGTCAGGACTGTAGTTAAGAGACTAATAAATACATTATGCAGTAATGAACTGGATTATCAAGGGCCAACCCAGACAACTGAAATGTTTTGAAGAACACAATTAAAAGATTGTCCTCCTTTTTTGGAGACTACAACCTGGAAAAAAAGGACCCTTTCTAATACCAAGATGATTCATTTAAGGATCAGAAGGCTTTCCCCTCGTGGAAGGGATTACAGTCTCCTTCAAGATCTGAGGTGTTCTAAGTGCAAAGCAGCCTGTACATTATAAACATTGTCACAACCTAAAAATTGAGACAGCAGTTGAGGTTATGAGGGAGAGAGAGCACAAGCAATTCAGTCTTCAAATGACCCAAGTGCTACCAGAGGCCTGTAAAAACTAAAATAAGGTAATTTTTCAATATAATCTGGATTTGAGACCCCCAGTGCAATAACTCAGCTCGTGCAAGCTTTATTTTGATACTGAGGAGCGCGGGCTGGCATAGTTCAGTCCATGTAGAGCTCTGCAGCTGAGTTGGTGGGACAGCAGTGCCAGTGCCCAGCTGCACACGGAGGCAGAGGCTCTCTCCCCCAAGAAGTGTAGTTCCTCAGCCAATGTGTTCCTACGCCGATTTGGGTTACTGAGCACTATCTCAGTGCTAGTAGCATCTGTGTGTGTGCGGCCGTGCTGTTCTGCCTGGCTTTTACCTTTCAGCAGACACAGGTACAAGAAGCTTGCTCATGCTGATGGTGAAGTGTTAAATGACCTCTGTCCGTGGGGAAAGGATGTGGCTGCTGTGTGCACAAGGCAATTAGTCACGCAGGTCTGCTCCTATGGCAGCAATCAAGGGATCTGTTCAAGAAGTAGATTGTATTTTCAGTCAATAGTGGGATTATCCTTTTATTAGTGATCATCTGTCCGTTACTACTATTCACTGTGTGATGGTCATGGAGGCTCCAGCCCTGTAGTGTGAAGGCACCGCATGAAAATAGAACAAAACGTGGTATTTAGTCCAAAACCCTTTTTCAAACTGAATGATACAGTTTTTATTAATAAACTTTGCATATTCTTACCATGACTAATTGAGTGTGCTTAATGAGCACACGTCACCTGTCTAACACCTCAGTTGAACCACAGATCGTGTTTTATAGCTAGTGAAATCACAAAGAAACTGAGTCAAAGGAAATGCTGTGATGCATAAAGCAGTTTATGTTCCTGCGTGGAATGATATCTGTAGTTAAACATAAGCTCTGTTATCACAAGAAAAACATGATGTACTTTGAGGACCATACATGATGTACTTTGAGGATGTTAGTGTGTCATTGATGAAATGTTGTGATTCCCTCACGGGGCAGAAAACATTTAAGTTGCTGATAGCAGCCATGAACTATGTACCAGTCAAAATTATTTTCAAGCTTTATGTTTAAAATAATGTGATCTGCAGTATGTTACGGGTAAATATTTGTCTTGTTTTAAAGAATGTTAATACTTACGGGTGTTTTCCCTGCGTTCACGTTAAGATTCACTTCCTGCAAGCAGTGCTAGAAGAAAGGTGAAAGGCGTTTGTCCTCTGTGCTGAACAAAAGCCAGTGGGTGGGAACAGGTCAGGCAGCATTGCGTGGAGACCTGGATGGGATGTGGTTCCAGCGCAAGGAGAGAGCCTGTTGGTAATTTCCGCACGTACAGCTGGCTTGCTGCTTTTTCCCCAAGCAGAACATATCAATGGGCAGGGCACAGATCAGGATTTTAGGTAACAGAGCTCTATTTTTGATTGCAGCATCATCTAACCTTGCGCAACGTGCTTGGCTTTCCTCTGCCTTGGTTTATTCCTCTCTGTAACAGGTCATTAATTCTGATTTTCTCTGGAAAATGTTTGATTCAGTTAAATCATTTTACAGAAGCCAGTTAATTACCCCACAGAAAAGTAACACAATGCCAACCTAACTACTGTGATGACTGGTCAGAGGACATTAAGTCAGCACCTTCACCATGTTATCGCTAATGCTGCCAGCGAGGTTATTGTGCAATCGTTACGTAGGTAAAGTGCTTATTGAATTTGGGTGACAGGCTTGAGCTCTGTGTGGGAAAATACTTTGATCTTGGAAAACAGCCATCACTTTGAGAATGGAAATTAGAATGAGGCTTCTGATCTGACCAAAGCCTAAAGAAGCTGTCCTGTCCAAGGCTCAGGTGAATGGAAACTTTTATTAAACATGAGTGCCCAGCATTTGAGGTGATGGAGGTGTCAGTGAGGGCTCACAGGATCTTAGCATTTAGGAGGAGCTTGTACAGGCTGCAGGGGAACAAGGCTTTCCAAGATGAAGGGCCATTGATGTTGCCTACTGTCTATTTAATCAGCCAAGCTCTGCTCTGAACGATGAATAACAAGATATCTGTATTGCCTGATTGTCATTTGGACTACGAATCTCAGGGAAAAAGAACTTTTTCCTACATGCCAAATATCCTGACTGGCTTCGCTGCTGATGAAACATTCCTGCAGGAGTTTTGCTTTACAAGCCTGAATGCATTTTTGCATGTTATGGGCAGCCTCGTATCACATATGCATCATGTTGTGCCTTCCACTTACGTAACTGGGACAACTTTTTCATTCAGCTGTCCCACTTGTTACTGAGTTTGGCCAAGCTGCCCTTGAATGCAGACAGTGGATGTGTCTTGGTAAGAAACCAAAGTCATTGCAATGAATCAAAGAGCCCAGGAGAGTGCTTGTGTCCCTGTGATTGCATGACCGTGAAGTCCCCCCTCAGACTGCCTTGGGGTAGGGCCCTCTTTTGTGGGTGAAGTCTAGAGGTATGTAAAGAAAACAAGTTCGGGATCAGATTTTTTTCTTAAAACTGATGACTTGAGAAACTGTTTCTGAATTATACCAGAAGATAAGGAAGATTGCAGAGAGAAAGCTGCAGGTTGAACAAATTCTTCGTATGCTCTAACAGGCAATGAAGATGTATTTACTTCATCAGCTAGTAGTCCTAGATATAATTTCTTGATAAATATCAATTATGTCACTTTGATAAGGGAATCATATCTATCAATAAAGCCCAGTGCATGTTTGGGTAAAATACTGCTGTGATGTCTGCAGAAGGATCAGTGGTAGATGGGAAAGCAAATACTTCTAAGGAAATTAAATACAGCTCCTTCGCAACGTGATGCCGTGAGACCTCTAAAATCTCTCCTGGAGCT